ATCCTTCAGGAACCTCCATTTGCTATAGAATGCTGTACAAAGGCCCGTCCAGACGATAAGGGATCTTACGAAGGTATAGTCGGCTTCGGAGATAAAGCAAAAGATATTATTTGAGAACGAGCAAACCGCTGGACAAGTGGGAGACAGTGGGCTGGTGTTGGTTCCTAATCAATCGCGCCGACGTGGTTGACAGCAGGTCTTTTGAACCCGACCATTTTCACCTTCAACGTCCCCCAAAATGATGGACTCAGACCCAGACTCCAATTTACCTCCTTTGATCCAGCAGGCACAGGATCAGTATCGCAAATACCAACGCCAGTATCAATTTTACTTGGATCGAACAACTCCCCATATTGTGCAGCGATGGATAGCCACTGCCGGCATATACGGATTGTTCATGCTTAGGGTTCTCGTAGCACAAGGGGTACGTAGATTTTATTAGTCAGTTACACTTTAAAGCGCGGTCGCTAAATTTCACTTAGTGGTATATTGGTGTGTAGACGTGTCACGGCTTTCCTTCTTTCCAAGCTAACAAAGGACTCTTTTTTTCTGTAGTATGCTGTGAGTAGTATTGTAAATTGTAAACCGCTAACGCTGACGACCGGTCCCAGATGCACACGCAATCTATATGCTCAACCTTTTGTTGGCATTCCTTCAACCGAGATTCGACCCTTCATTAGAAGCAGATCTACTGGATGATGAGATTGAAGCTGGAGGAACAGAGTCGACTCCTCTGCCAACTTCGGCCAAAGACGACGAATTTCGACCATTCGTCCGTCGGTTACCTGAATGGAGTTTCTGGTAATTGCTGCTATAAATCGAAGTCACCAATGCTTACGATTTCCTCTTTTAGGTTGTCAGCAACACGGGCGACTGTAATAGCCCTCGTCTGCTCTCTCTTCTCGATGTTCGACGTACCCGTCTTCTGGCCAATCCTTGTCTTATACTTCTTTATGCTCTTTACTCTGACGATGAGGCGTCAAATACAGTGTGTATTCTCTGAATGTTGCGTGACTTGACCTGACTTTATCGTAATTCAGGCATATGATCAAATACAAATACATTCCATTCGACTTTGGCCGCAAAACACGATATGGTGGTAAAAAATAGAGGGAATACAGTACTCTATCACTTCACACGGGTGGTTGAAGTAACTTCTATTCTAACATCGATCTATCGCTGAGGGGTTCGTCTATCCTATCGATAATGACGTGGTCACGGAAGAAATAGACATCGTCCAGAGCTTCGATAATTCTAATATCCAGAGAAGATGTGGTCTCCAATCGTAGCCAGTGGCGATTGAGGGAGTGGATTAGATTGACCAACTCAAACAACGGACGATCGGGAGTGGGTTGGAATTTTGAGTTATACGGACAGTATTCCAAGGTATATCTCTCCAATGCATTGCGG